CACTCTAAAAATGTTTCGGTACTCTCTAAACATGTGTTGATGCACTCTAAGTATGTTTTGACGCACTCTAACATATTTGGATGAACTCTAAAAGTGTTTGGACGCACTTTAAATGTGTTTTGGTGCACTCAAAACATGTTTAGACGAACTCTAAACATGTTTCGACGTACTCTATATATGTTTCGACGCACTCTAAAAATGTTTTAATGCATTTTAAACATGATTGGATGCATCTTATTATGTTTCGACGGACTATAAACATGTTTGGATGCACTCTAAGTATGTTTCGACGCACTCTAAACATGTTTGGATGCACTCTATGTATGCTTTGATGCACTCTAAACATGTTTGGATGCACTCTAAACGTGTTTTGGTGCACTCAAAACATGTTTAGACGAATTCTAAACATGTTTCGACGTACTCTATATATGTTTCGATGCACACTAAAAATGTTTTAATGCACTTTAAACATGTTTGGATGCATCTTATTATGTTTCGACGCACTATAAACATGTTTGGATGCACTCTAAGTATGTTTCGACGCACTCTAAACATGTTTGGATGCACTCTAAACATGTTTGGATGTACTCTAAATGTGTTTGGACGCACTCTAAATGTGTTTTGATGCACTCAAAACATGTTTAGACATACTCTAAATATGTTTCGACGCACTCTAAAAATGTTTTAATGCTCTCTAAACATGTTTCGACGAACTCTAAACCTGTTTCGACGCACTCTAAATATGTTTCGATTCACTCTGAAAATATTTTAATGCACTCTAAACATGTTTGGATGCACTCTTAGTATGTTTCGACGCACTCTAAACATATTTGGATGCACTCTAAAGGTGTTTGGATGCAGTGTAATTGTGTTTGGACGCAATCTATACGTGTTTGGATGCACTCTAAGTATGTTTAGATGCACTCTAAACATGTTTCGACGCACTCTAAAAATGTTTCGGTACTCTCTAAACATGTTTGGATGCACTCTAAGTATGTTTTGACGCACTCTAAACATATTTGGATGAACTCTAAAAGTGTTTGGACGCACTTTAAACGTGTTTTGGTGCACTCAAAACATGTTTAGACAAGCTCTAAACATGTTTCGACGTACTCAATATATGTTTCGACGCACTCTAAAAATGACTCTAAAAGTGTTTGGACGCACTTTAAACGTGTTTTGGTGCACTCACAATATATGTTTCGACGCACTCTAAAAATGTCGACGTACTCAATATATGTTTCGACGCACTCTAAAAATGTTTTAATGCACTCTAAACATGTTTGGATGCATCTTATTATGTTTTGACGCATTTTAAACATGTTTGGATGCACTCTAAGTATGTTTCGACACACTCTAAAAATGTTTGGATGCATTCTAAATAAGTTTCGATGCACTCTAAACATGTTTGGATGCAGTCGAAGTACGTTTCGACGCAGTCTAAACGTGTTTTGACGAACTCTAAACATCTTTTGTTGCACTTTAAACATGTTTCGACACACTCTAAACATGTTAGGATGCACTCTAAACGTGTTTGGAGGCACTAGATGTGTTTGGATGCACTCTAAACGTGTTCGAACTCACTCTAAACATGTATAGACGAACTCTAAACATATTTCGACGCACTCTAAATATGCTGCGATGCACTCTAAAAATGTTTCGATGCACTCTAAACATGTTTGCATGGACTCTAAAAGTGCTTGGACGCACTCTAAACATGTTTCGACTCACTCTAAATATGTTTCGACGCACTCTAAAAATGTTTTAATGCACTTTAAATATGTTTGGATGCACTCTTAGTATGTTTCGACGCACTCTAAACATGTTTAGATGCACTCTATATATGTTTTGATGCACTCTAAACATGTTTGGATGCACTCTAAATGTGTTTGGACGCACTCTAAACGTGTTTTGGTGTCTCAAAACATGTTTAGACGTACTCTGAATATGTTTCGACGCACTCTAAAAATGTTTTAATGCACTCTAAACATGTTTCGACGAACTCTAAACATGTTTCGACACACTCTAAATATATTTCGATGCACTCTAAAAATGTTTTAATGCACTCTTATTATGTTTCAACGCACTCTAAACATGTTTGGATGCACTCTTAGTATGTTTCGACGCACTCTAAACATGTTTGGATGCACTCTATGTATGTTTTGATGCACTCTAAACCTTTTTGGATGCACTCTAAACGTGTTTGGACTTACTCTAAACATGTTTAGACGAACTCTAAACATATTTCGACGCGCTCTAAATATGCTTCGACACACTCTAAAAATGTTTCGATGCACTTTAAACATGTTTGGATGAACTCTAAAAGTGTTTGGACGCACTTTAAACGTGTTTTGGTTGCACTCTAAACATGTTTAGACGAACTCTAAACATGTTTCGACGTACTCTATATATGTTTCGACGCACTCTAAAAATGTTTTAATGCACTCTAAACATGTTTTGATGCACTCTTATTATGTTTCGACGCACTTTATACATGTTTGGATACACTCTAAGTATGTATCGAACACTCTAAACATGTTTGGATGTCGGCTGAGTTGCAGAAGCAACTCGAAAGATTTGATGCCTTCGAGATGATCGAGCATCTCAGGACTATGTTCAAGGAACAGGCAAGGGTCGAGCGATTTAACGTCCTTAAGAACCTGGTAAAAAATGACCAATGGTTGACCCGTGAGTACTCATATCCTCAAGATGAAGGGTTATCTAGAGGATCTTGACAGACTAGGGTTGGAGGTTAGTCGTGAATTGGCAGTAGACCTAGTTCTTCAATCCTTGCCGGATAGTTTTGATCAGTTTGTCATGAAACTATAACATGCATGGGATGGAGGACTTGACCGAGCTACATGGGATGTTAGTTCAACCGCTTTCTCGTCTTGGCAAATCGACTAATAAAATAGATGCAACTTCATCTATAGCATGGCCACGCGTTTTTCATAGTCCGACTTTCACGAGAGGGTCCAACGATATCTCTCCTATTAAGAAGGTGACAAGTCTCATATTGCACGTCTACTATCTCCATATGATTCGTGAACGTATCTAATCAACGCCGTTATAATTATCCGGTTAAAGACGACGTTTGACGCAGTCAAGACACGCCATTCCTCATATCAGATACTCTAGACATCTCAGGTATGAGGATCCAGGAATGAACCGCTGTATGAGATTCAAGTCATGACTCTGTCCATGTGACAATCTCATGCGGATCATACTAAAGATCCCTACATAGCAAATCTCTAACCTACAGTAAAGGAACTACTCGTTAAACATCGAGACGTCAGGAGGGTTTATATCAATAATACAAAACATCGTAAAATAGAAGCAAAGGAAGAATGCTTAGTCGATTTCCCGCCTTCGTAATCTTCGTCTTCTACTCTGATCTCTTGCTTCTTGATAATCGCCCCCTTTTCTTGTGCTCTTGGTGTATTCTCTGTGTAAAGCTTGAATGATTTCGACCTAAGAGTTTTCCCCTCTTATTTCCGTTCGGTTTGGGAAAATTGGAAGTATTCTCGAATCTGGGAATCGAACCGATCATTTCGGGTCAAGCCAAACCGATCGTTTTCACTTTCTGAGAAATTTTCCAATTCTGCGAAGCTGAACCGATTGTTTCACCAAGTTCAAAACGATTGTTTCATGTCTCTGATCAGTTGTGAAAATTCGCTCATAACTTCCTACTCCGATATCGGATTTAGGTGATCTTGGTGTCTATGCGTAGATATTGAGAAGAGCTTTCCAATGCTGTAGAGAGCAGAAGACTTAGACTTATAGAGTGAAAGTTATTGGACATGCAAAATCTGACGTTTTCTGACCTTCACGTTTTCTCTGTAAACACTCCAAATGTTTCCGTTTCGTCCATGATATTCCGTAGTCCATACTTTCCACTCTTTTTGCTCTTTTTATGCGTGGAAACCTATTTAAACTCCAAATAATACAATTATCCAATATCGAAGCCAAATGTGCCCTAGAATGCCTACAAATATGTAAAACCGAGTCAAATACGCTAGACATCCTATATCAAAATATTATCCAAAATACATGTTATCAGTTAGTCATAGGATAAAAGCGTGATTGATGAAATAGAGGCAAGCCATGGGGGTCCTTTGCGATCGCAAAGTTCCCATACGGTTGAAAGAAAAATTCTACTGTACAGCCATAAGTCCCGCATTGATGTATGGTAGTGAGTGTTGGGCGGCAAAAGGACAACATGTGTCCAAAATATGTGCGGCCGAGATGAGGATGTTGCGATGGATGTGCGGACATACACGGATGGACAGAATCCGTAAGATCCAGCACAATATCATCACTGAACTTGGAATCCAAACCTAGCTCAGTTGCCACACTACTACTGCTAGGTACGACATCCAGATGTTTTGGTAAGCTCTTAGAGGTGGAGCTGCTACATAGGGACACACCCATTTCCGTAACTACGTTATACTTTCCACCTTTCTCAACGTTTTGCTGAGGTTCCACCATTGACGAGTCAAGCTGATGATTAAGCATCGAGGAGCGTTTAAGGTGATTTGGACATGTAAAACGTAGACCGTTCGATGTTGCGGTTAGAAAATTAGAGAGTATGAGGATAGAAGTGAAGAAACGAGGAAGGCATAAGCCTAGACTTACTTAGGAACGAGTCATTAGGAATAACTTGAATGTGTTGCAAATCTCAGAGAATATGACGCAAAACTGAAATGAGTAGAAAAGAAGAATTCATGCGGCCGACCCCAAATAAACTTGGTATTAAGACGATGTTGATATTGATATTGATGTTGACGATGTGGAAAAGTTCATGTTTTTGGATTAAATTCAATATTTTTTTACTCACTTAAAAACTTTAATATTTATTTAACAAAAAACAAAGTTTAGTGCTTTTTATGAAAAGTTCGGTGTTTTTTTGAAATTTTTCTTAATAAAAATATTGAAAATGATGATAAAAATAATAAATTTGGCATTTCCCTTGTTCTATTTTTACAGTTCAAAGAGCAGTGTGAGTAAAACTTCCCATATACAACGATAAAAGATTTCAGTGATCATATCCTGTACAAGAAAACAGAGATGGAAAGACGATGAAACCCAATACCCAGAAAACATAAAGGGGCCTGTTTTGTTTAGTCTCTCTCTTTTTTTTCTTTTTTTAATTAAGAGTATTTACAGGTTTAGGGTTTCTTCCATCACTTCTATCTGCCTAGGGAAAATAAGCGAAGGATCAGGAAGCTTGTTGATGAATAGCAGAGTCAGGTAGCATAGCTATGGTCACTATGAAGTATTCACATCCTGGAGAGAGACCATAAGGGTTTGATGATGAAGTTGTTGGTGAAGACAATGAAGACGATGAACTCGACGATATCAGGTTATTACCCAAGCCATTGTCTGAGGCAGGCCAACCAATCTGATCTGTCTTACCCATCTCGGGACAGTTTGAACCAGCCTCTGTAGACGGTGGAAGCTTCACAGTTTGGCGCTCAATATGGACAATCTGTCCAACAATGTATGCAGGTCGGGTCGGGTGATGATCTGTGAACAATGCCACTGATTCGGGAGACAAGTAGTAGTTTGAGCATGTCCTGCTGATAGCCTCGTAATGCCTTGTCGAGTTCAGCACAAATGCTGCAATCTCATGGACTTCGAGACGACAAAATGATATCTTTTCCTTGTTTGCCTGCAACAAGTTCATCAATTCTCAATGTTAATAACTGAAACTTGCAGGGCAATGCCGGACAACATTTTGAGACATTTCATTCCATCAGAACCGAAGTTAGGTTCAGAACAAGTTACCTGCTTTCCAAGTTGATGTTTGTTATACAATGTTTTCACGAGCTCTTTCTTTTCTTCGAAGTCCTTTCTTAGCTGTTCATTTGCAGCTTCTAGCTTTTGGCCCTTTCCGAGTAAATCTTCCCGGTGCCTGGAGAGGAAGCTGACCTTGTCTGCCAGGACCTGGATGCACTTTTTGAACTCAGCAGTACCATCATCTTCATTATCATTAATGGAACTGTAGATTTTCCAAAATGCAAAAGAAACAAACCATAAACCATTTGGTTCCTTGTCATTCATGTCAAGAGCTTAACAAAAAGGAATTCTTCTGGGTCATAACTATACATTAATGATGATCACCAAACAGAACAATGGATTGAGGAACTTACTTGGATAAAGATTGAGCTAAAGTACGCAGTGACTCGGCAAAACCAGCAACCCCACCAGCAGCACAGACAGAGTTCCGGAATCTTTCAAAGAGGCCTCGCATCTTCACAGCTGATGCACGGAGGGCACTATACTCTGAAGCTCTACGGTCAGCAGCACAACGATGGGTTTGAGCTTCTTCTCTTGCTTCGTGTAAGCAATTCTCCAAGTGGGCACAGTTCATCTACAGCCAAGAAAGTAAAATTTTAGCTCACTCAATGATAGATTTGTACTAGGAATATGAGAGGAAGGAAAACATCGAACAGGAGAAAAAGCTCTGCATATGTGCAAGGTCTAGAAGTTCATCTGGTAATGAAAAAGCTCTGCATACTCCTTGTCCAGATGATTGATACTAAGCATTATAAGGTGTTAAAGATCACTCAAACTAGATCCAATACAAAAACTAGGGATACCAAAAGAATAGACATCAATATCGGATGCTAGCATTAGCAGAAGGGAACAATAACGGAGGATAAATATCAGAAAAAACTGCACAGTAGCTTGCCCTGCCAGAGAATAAATACCAGAGTTGGAAATTAGTTAAAAGAGGCAAACAAGGCGAAAACTGCCACACCTGGGATTCATTGAGAAGAGCCTGACTCTTTTCCAACTCTCTACTTAGTCTGGAAACCTCTTCCATAGCATCGTTACGGTTGGATTCCATTTCACTCAGCTTATGGGACTTGTCTATCAGCTCATTTCTAAGATCCAGCACAATATCATCACTGAACTTGGAATCCAAACCTAGCTCAGTTGCCACACTACTACTGCTAGGTACGACATCCAGATGTTTTGGTAAGCTCTTAGAGGTGGAGCTGCTACATAGGGACACACCCATTTCCGTAACTACGTTATACTTTCCACCTTTCTCAACGTTTTGCTGAGGTTCCACCATTGACGAGTCAAGCTGATGATTAAGCATCGAGGATGAATCCATCATATTTTCATCCATACCCTCTCGAGCTTTATACGGTTGTTTGTCAGAAAGATTTGAAACACATGAGACCTCATCCATGGGTTCTGTAGCATATATATGGGTTATATTGGTTTCTGCATCAGCAGAGGTTTCTACTTTATATTCGTTAGCTTGTGTATGCAGAAGGTCTAAGCCAGACACGTCCTTACTATTACTATGTCTCTGCCCCTGTAAGTATTCTTCGGAGAGACGTTCTTCCAGTTCACGGATACGTTTCTCATATGAAGCACAATTCATTTCCTTTTCCTTGAGCATAGAGAGGAGATGTTTTTCATACTCATCTTTGGCCTTCAACGCCTCTGCAGTCTTCTCAGCAGCATCCTTCAATAAACTTTCTAGTTTACTGTCATCAAGCGCCTCATATTCCACTTCTGGGCATAGCGTACAAATCCGGGCTATAGCGGAAGCAAGGTCAGCTTTCAGTTTCGCATTCTCAACCTCCATCTTGCCGGTTCCAGCTACGTCTACTAATTCGCAGGCCTCCAAGATTTCATCATAACTGTCTTTGTGCAAAGCTTCGATAGCTATCTCCTCATGCCCACCCGAAAACGAGCTCTCACTTGACATGGCCAGTGAATTCCTTGAAGGTGCAAGCTTTGAGTGTGAACCGGCTAGATGCTCGGGAGCATAACGATCAATGTCTATGATGTCGATATTGAGCAAACTGGTATCATAAGGAGCAATATTGACATCACACTGGTTAGGAGTATCATATAGCCCCATCGAGGCCAATACATCACGAGGTACATATGGACCTCGGGCTTTAAGAAACTCTTGACGTCTCCTGACCTCTGTCTCTCGCTTCATGGCAAGCCTCTCAGCCAGCTGTCCTGCCATGCCCATGTACAGCTTCATAGAGGCTTTTCTTCTCACCACTTCTGCAAGGCAAGCCCTATAAGCGGGGCCAATCCCACGAACTAACTTCAAATCCGCAAACAAGTCATCTTGCCGCAGCATTGCCTCTCTAAAGACGGGAAACTGCAACTTAGCATCTTTGATGATGTATGTGACATATGTTATCTTTTGCATGTAACTGTGAACAAAGCTGTTCATCTCATTCTTCTTGTTCTTGCAGAAATCTAGCAATTCTGAAATGGAGTTATGACAAGCCCACATTGTCGGCAGATGACTCTTGTCATGCACCTCGTACATAGGACCCAGAGCTGAAACGGCATCGTGGGGACGGATCAACGATGACAATGGGTAAGACAGACAATCATCCACAAGTTTCGCCACTGTATTCACATCTTTGCTGTGACGAGATCCGAACAAAAATTTTTAGTGAACAGAATTCGCAATAATTTCATAAAAGTAAAGGGATTCATATAAAACGATCACCAAAAAAGTATAGATCTTGAAATATACAAGTTCATAAAAAATATAGGCTAAAACATTTCATGACGAGATACGAGCAGGTATTCATTTTAGTTCATTGTAAATCTCATGCCGAATGCAAAAATTAAAAAGATTTGCATGATAAGCAGTAGCCATTGATGCAAAAAAATCAAACTGCACTGTTTCGAACCAATTTTCATGTAGAAGGCCAGGAATGTAGTAACCAGACAAGGGTAGAATGTTTACATACCTGAGAGACTGCATAATGCTCCTTTGCTCGTTAATGAACCGTTCATGATCCTTAAAGGCCAATTCTAAATTTTTATTCGATAAAGATGCCCTGCAAGCAAACAACTCTTCTACCTTGCGCTTGACCTCAACAAACATCTGCTGGAACTGCGCAATCTTGCTCTCAAATTGCTTATGAGAGCTACCACAATTCTCTGCAGCCTTTTTCAGACTATCTTCCTTAATGAAATCCAATAAGCACTTCCTGGAATCAGTCTGCAAAGCTGGATGAAGCTTTCCTGACCTCAATTTCTCAAAATCCCTTGCAAAATTCATCAGCAAATCATAATGGAGACGGTGTTGATGCTTATACCGCTTCATAAACTCAAGGAAATTCTGATAGATCACCCGGTAATACTGGTCCAGATTTCGTGTAGCAACTTCTACAGCTCGTTCTTGCACTTTCCGCTCCCTGATTAACTTCTCACAAGTCTCATACTTCACAAAAGTAGATTTGAAGATGGCACGGCCTTTGAGTGAATGAGACCGGAATAACCTCTCATAGGAAGGTAAAGCCTTTAAAGCTGGATCAGATGCATCGTCCAAAGGGTGATGATTGGGCATTGAAGCCGGGAGTAAAGGGTCTGGCACTTCCTGTATATCAACTTCTTCCAGTGGCGGAGCTGGAGAGCTGCTCTGTAACCTAGCCTTGTTGAAAACAAACACTTCCCTGTCACTTGCGGGCAGTCTGTAAGCGGACAAAAGCTTTTGAGACTCGAGTTTCATGTCCAGAGAGAGAAGAAGCTGATCGTTGAAGCTAATTCCAGAAACAGACTCGACAAAACGCATCACAGCTTCAACTGGAGTAGTTTCGTTGCATTCGAATTCAAAAGAATGGCCATTCTCGGCAACACAGAGAAGAAGCTTGCCATCATTGGCGAAGCTGTCGGTCAAGCTTGAGCTCAAGCTCATCTTACCCACCGAAAACCCAGAATTCTCTACCACTGAATCTCTAACCAAAGTCAAATCAAGAAATGTGACTGATCTAATCAAGGGAATAACCACATCAAAGCTCTTCCCTAGAAATTCGCTCGCAAATCTGTGGAGGAACAGAGCCCTTTATATCTCCAACCGTTGACTAAAATCCAAAACAATAAAAAACCAAGCGAATTTCCTGTCTGATTGGTTTCGTAAAGGATCCTAAGCACCCAGTATCTAGCCCTAACCAGGAGAACCGCAAACCCTCGCTTGAAAATCGATAAAAATTTCCCAAAACCCACCAAGATTTAACCACAAAGTTCCAAATTTCCCGCAAATCGAGCACCAATTTCCCCGAAAAGAATCTCCGACACTTCTGCAACCTTCCGCCACTTTTTGTTCAAAAAGAAAACCTAACCCTAGAAGACGCTAAAGCAGACGTTAGATGACGACTGCGAGCGATTTGGGTGAAGAGACGTGTCAATCCTGGAAATTTCCCGAGAGAAACAACAAAAGAGGCAAACCTTTCACGAAACCCTTTTCAACACCAAATCAATTTCTCCAAAAAAAAAAACATTCTTATCTTGTTCTTCCTCTTCGCTTCCACAACGAATTCTCCCGTTGATTTTTAAACTATTTTACCTTTTTTCAAATTAATGGAAAGCAACGCATCTGTTTCCGAAGAAGAACCCTTCCCCTAAGACAGATATCACCAAATCACTATTTATTCTCTAATAGTAGTCTTAATATTCTTCACGTTACCACCCCTTAACTTTACAATTTTGCTTTTAGACCCCATACGTTATCAATTTAGCCCCAAAAGTTTGGTGCCTTACAAATATCTCCCTTCTATTATCTTTGATTCTACCACGGTTGAGAACAAGTCTTATCACTTGCTGCTGGTACTAGAAATTGGCCATATTCTTTTAGGTGACAATAATCATTAATTGGATACCATTTTGCACATATATATAGGTTGTGTTATATATATATGATATAACTAGTGGAAAACAATTGATAAGAATCTACACATATACAGAAAGTATATGGATATGGTAAGTTATGTTGCCATGTGACATGAATTGGACCACATACGACGCTTATTTATCGCCAACCAGCCACTATTTTTCAGTATATCATAATAGAATTTGCTATATTTTTTGTCACAAGAAATTTCAAGTTCAAAAACTTTTTAATGAAATCATATTTATGTATATATAATGAATGCGAAATCATATAAAACAAAAACTAATAATTTTTTATCTTTAACGTACTAATATTATTTATACTTATAGTGATTTGGTGGTGTGTCATTGTTAAAAATATTTATCTGTATTTTTGTAGCATATGCTTTCCCATCATGTCGGACCACGATTAGCTGAAATCAAAGACAGAAGATGCCACTTTGATTATATGCTTTGTGATGCCACGTCAATGATTTTAAGTTACTTCCCTTCGTACCGTTGGAACAGAAGTTTGGGTATAGAACTGCGTATAAATGACCAGATAACTGGATCACTCTTTTAATCATTTTTTAAAATAAAAATAATACATAAATATCTAAATTTTTATACAATTTCCATGTAAATATCTGAATTATAGAACTTCAGAAAAAACTCCTAAAAATTTCTAAACTTGCAAATTGCGAGAAAGAAATTCCTAAACTTGCGAGTGTGTCTAATTATTTCTAAACTTGAAAAAAGTGACCCAATAATTTCTAATATTGTTAAAAAAGTGTCATAATAGTCTTTAACATAAAATGATTAGAATAATACGATTTTAAGTCCTACGTGGCTGGTGACTTGTCAAGCCATGTCGGATTTTTGAGCTACGTATTCAGAACCGAGTTTAGAAAAACCGGTTCAATAAAAGCGGTTTGAAACAGTAAATTTCGGATTTAGTGTAACTTTGACGGAACCCTCCAGCTTTCCCTCTCCCCCTGCTACCTCGGCGATGACGGTTCCCTCAAACTCCGGCGAATTGGGTTCCTTTGCTTCCGTCGGAAAACTGGGTTTTTCGTAGTTTTCAGATCTCTCACTGTTGATCACTTGCGTGACGAGCTTTAAATTTGTACCCGACACACAACGAATCCGCAAGTATACGGATGATGTAGTACTGGGGTCGAACTTCCCTCTCCCCCTGCTACCTCGGCGATGACGGTTCCCTCAAACTCCGGCGAATTGGGTTCCTTTGCTTCCGTCGGAAAACTGGGTTTTTCGTAGTTTTCAGATCTCTCACTGTTGATCACTTGCGTGACGAGCTTTAAATTTGTACCCGACACACAACGAATCCGCAAGTATACGGATGATGTAGTACTGGGGTCGAACACAAGGACTTAGTGCGGTTAAGCTAGGAATCGATCAAAACTAGAAAAATGGTAAAAATAAGATTGGAGAATTGTTTTTTGTGGTTTTGAAAGTTGCAGAAAATTAAATGAGAGAAATAAAATCAAAGCAAGCAATAATTCAAGAGAACATGATCGATGGAAAAGGTTATGAAAATCGGGATTCACCGATCATGCAAGGATGCCGTAGGAGTTGTGGACCTAGATCATGCTCGTTCTAAAATGAGGAATTCGAAGACTAAGGTCGGGTTCGGTTCTTTCGACCCGAAACCCGCTATCTAAGAGAGTACTCTATCCACTTTCGTGGCTTAGAATGAAATTCCCGAATGCATTAAATTCCCTTGTCACGATCCTAGATTGAATTGAACCGAATTTTTTCGTATTCAATCTCAACCCATTTCAATGAATGCACCAAGAATCAAGAATCCATGTCTCCATGAAATTCTCAATCATAAATTCTACCCATAAGATTTTCATCCAATGGAAAGCATTAAACACCATTCATTAAACTCTAGCAATCAAACCCAAACAATTGCATCACCCAATTCAACAAATCATAGGTTTCCCTAAACATTCATTCAAGAGAGATGAGAGATAATTATGAAGAACAAAATTCCATTCATTGCAAGAGTTTGAAAGCATAAACAAGGCACAATCTTGGATCCGAAGGTTAAGACAAGCATCCTTACATGAGGGCTAATCCCTCATCCCACAACAAGAAACTACTCA